TTGTTGAGGTAACTCGCTCATCAAGATCGAAATCCAAAAGAGAGTTTTTAGTTACGCTGGGCTTAAGACCTGTTCTCTTCTCCATGAACAAAACTGCTATTTTACCTAGATGCATATATGGAAAAATCCAGGATCCTGGGATGCATTTTTTTTTTTTTAATATATTTGGGAAACTCCGGATGCCCAGGTTCTTAACAAAGGCACTTTGAGGTATCTTGCATTCTACAGTAGAAGATTTAAGGGGGTGTGAGAGGAGAGACACCACTCTGACCAAGCCCTTTAATGTGTAAGCCCCTTAAATGCCTCTTTGAATGCAACAAGAACACAAGAGCAGCTCTGCTCAACATCAGGACGTTTGAGTTACATCTCCATCATCGCCATAACCCAGAGTGGAAAAGCTTTACTAGGAAAGACCCACAAAGACCCAAATGCAGAAAAAACTAGGAATGGCTGCAGAAATGTATATAGGATGGAAGTTGCACAACTGCCAAGCATAATCAGCTCTGTCCACTTTTCACCTGAAAGAACCAAGGCAAAGCGTTGCAACTCTTTTCTTCAGTATCTGGGTTTAGAAGCCCATAACTCGTAGTTTGATGAAACTTTCAATCTTTCCAAAGACAAAGATTACTCAACGGAACAAGAACATAACCCATTCTGGGCTGAATTTGAACCTTCCTGTTACTTCAACCACTTCTCTGACAAAGTAGAGTGATTCAAACCCAATTCATGTTTTTCTAGCAGGGCAACACATCAAAGCTAATCGAAGGAATAATAATAATAAATTAAAACAAACAAGCAAACAAACAAACAACTTTACAGCAAATGTTATGCATCACATACAAAGACGAGTTACAGAAACCACCACTACTATGATCTCAAAGCAAAATGTGCAGTAATTTGTAGTATCTCCTTCTGGAGTAGAATTCCACCCTTTTTCATGTACCTGGGCAAATATATGTACAAATAATCATAACTCAACAACCACAGATCAATTAATAAATGACATATATTCTACATCCGACTTGCAACTTCCCCCTGCTTGTAGCTTCTCTGGATGGAAGGTTTCTAAAGTTGCAGCATCTAAGCATAGTACATTTGGGAACTCCTGTCATACTTTCAGAGTTTCTCTTTCTAGGATAGTCAAAACATAAAAAGAGCAGGATGTTTGCCAATACAGATACCAGTCTGTTCAACTGCAACACACACCAGTTTCAGAGGCTACAAAGCTCTCTAAAATAAAGCAACCTAGGAATTATAGCACAGAAAGCACCTGATTTTGACTCACCTCCTCAGTGCCACTTCAGATGTTGCATACTTTAAAGACAGATGGTGCATTTTTCGTTGGAAGTCTATCTCAGAAATCTATTATGAGCTGGATTCCTTTTTCCTTATAAATAGTCAGAAAAATGAGTAAAAATCAGTTTTGCATGATAAAAGAATATGTCTTTATTTGTTCCCTCTAATCTGATTTTATCTAGCAAAAATACGCCCTGTGTCCTTATAGAAAACCTCACTTCTTATTTTTATATTCACCAACACTCTCTCCCCGCAGTACTAAGACAGGAGATGTGGTTTGATACAACCACATGCGTTACTGCTCAAATGGTACTAGCCTGACTTTTTTTTTTTCTTTTTTTTCTAAAACGTCAGTAGTAATTCCTTCTCTACAGTTTTTGTCCGCAAAGCCCAGGCAGTGGCGTAGTTCCCCTTCTGCTGGTCTGCCACCAAGCGGCAGTGTTGCAAAACAGACACGGACAGCAAAAAGAAATTCCAGTCAGTCTCAGGTTTACAGAAAACATGGCAGAAAAGCTTCCTGCTTTCGTGAGCTAAGAATTTAAGAAAGCTGACTTGAAATACTCCAACCGAGGTACTGTGCTTAGTTTCTGAAACATGCCTGAAAGACCAAAAGAAAAAAAAAGAGGTCACTGAAGTGTCATTGTAACGGTGTGTACTTCTGGAGTATGGCACTTCGAAATCACAGTAACCTAGGTCTATGCAATTAAAAATGAACCTCAGTAAAGAGCGTGAGCTGCTGTAATAAAAACATGTAAACGATGCTTACCCTTTTAATCTTTTGATGGTATATGGGTGATGGTTTTAGAAACTGAATATTTAAATAATAAAGGTTCTCATACTTTGTAAAAGTAGTTTGGAGACGTTTTGTGCTGGCATGGTTTTATCTTTGTATTTTTACTTTGTAATTTCTTTTTCTTTTTGGCAAATAAAGGACTTCTGAGTTGAAGAAGTAAAACCTGTCTCATGGTAGTGGCATAGACTTGTTTTTTTTCACTTAATCTCCAGCTGCTGTCCCAAAATTGTCTTCCCTATTGCTACTGAGCTCACACCATCCAGCAAGCCTACCAAAACCAAAAAGCTAGGCTTTCTTCTATAAAATACTGTGGAAAAGAAGTCATCCTAGCACTTAGCTTCCTCACATCTTCCTCAACATGGAGCACCATCCCTGTGCAGACTTACCAAAATTCTGAAGTCCCTCATTTTAATCTCTCCTTAAAACAGACATCTCCTGGATCCTCGGCAAGTGGCATGGAAAGAAGGAAAAACAAAACAAAACAAAAAAATGATTCCTTTATATGCAAATGCTCAAGCAGAATCGCTGTGTTATCTTATGACTTCATCCATGCGACTGACAGCTCAGCATTCTTCCCATGGATATCTGTGTATTGCACACTTTTCAGTAGGGACCTCTGGTTTTCTTGAAAATACCAAATGCAATTCAATTCTAAAAATGAAATAGCTAAGACCGGACAAAGAAGATGTGCTTGCAACATGATCAGTACTATAAGAAGTATTACAGCTTTCAGAGTGAATTTCATCAGCTATGCTGCATACATCTGAAGATATTCTAAGGTATACAAAGCTGTTCTTTTTTGTTGTTTCACTCCTCAGGAAAGTTACTGTTAGCAATTCGAGTTTTTACTGTAAATATAATTTGTATAAAAAGTAATACATAAAAAATGGCTGGGGTGTGTGCTTACATGCAGTAAAGAGATGCTTTTAGTCTGGATCATAACAGAATTCTTTGCAAGGTTCATGTGCCACATCTGTATGATCTTTTTCTTCAAAGTCCATTAGTTTCACTGAACCCCAAGCTTCTTGCTGTGCAAGAAGTACTTGCCTTTGAAAGCAGGGTTTTCAGGTTTTATTTCAGACTGCTGGTACATTGCATCTCTACAAGGTTCTTTTCTGACAATTCAAAATTTGATGGTACTTGGGGGGGGGGGGGGGGAGGTCACCTTCGTTCCTTTTCTGTCTTACGTACACAGGAACTCCACGATGACACAAATTGAAACAGCTGCAGAAGACAGCATCTGTTACCTGCCTCCTCCGTTTGTGGGAGTGTTTTCAAATTCGTGTGTGCGCGCAAGAACTTCTGCAGGGAGTTCAACAGTACCAGAAGAGCCTGCAGCAACCCCACTGTTCCCAGGTACCGTATGCTGGGGATGGACAGGTGAGAGAACATCACCTGCACGAATGATCTGCTATGGAGCAGCCAAGTCAACATAAACCAAGCATTAGTTTCCCGTTTCACTTCCCTTCCCCTCCTCCCTCCAGCATTTAATTCCAACCCAGTGATTTCAGTGATGCATGATACATGGAAAGAGCCTTTCTATTTAAAATGAAAGTTTAAATTTTTTCTCTTTCTTGAAAGAGTGTCCTCCATATGTTCAGATTGAGATGACCAGAAACATTAGGCTAGCTTTGTACTGGTACACATCAAAAATGATCAAAAGTTTGCCCCTTCCAGAGGAAGCTCTGTTCTTTCCATCTCTTCAAGACATTTCCAGGCAGGAGGACTGCCATAGCAAGGCATTTGCTGCTTTTTCCTTCCAATCCAGCTCTACAAACAACAGAATTTGATTAAAGTTTGGAAGTTATCACTTCCTGAGGCAGACTGGGAAGGCGGCTGAAGTATCACACCCTTCCTATATGAAAAGAAATCCCCGAGCAGCCTCCTCTGTGCCAGCGCTGAGAAAAGTTCCCCTCATCAACAGCACCACAGCAGGAACGCCAGGTCGGCAGCAACAGGGGAAATCCCACAGCCCAGGCCAGACAGGCTAAGCTAGAGCTAAAATTATCATTGCAACTGCTCTCTGTCAGTGATTCCCCAGTGCTTCTCCACATATGGCCAACAGGGAGCGAGGCCTTGCCGTGAGTTATGCTGGACGAAGTTTTCACTTAACTCCTTTTGACAATGAGCAACGGTGGGAAGGTCCCCAAACACCATGCTGTAAGGTCCCTGTAAAATGGAAACTAAAGCTTCTTAAACTAGAACCACTGCAATTCTTTTCAGAAACATTATGATCCTTTCCATCAGTCAGCTTATTCAACAACTACTAGCCGGGAGGTTTAAAAGAAAAAGCAAACCAAACAAGCCTTAATTTAAACAATTACAGAATTAGTCATCAACAGACTAAGTAGTATTTAGACAATAAGTTCAACATATGCCACACTGATGCCCTTAGCAGTTGCAAAATAGAATTAGAAAACTAACATTTATTAAATCAATTAGAATTTTAATATACATTTCAAGAACGTGGCAGCATAAAAGGAAATGTTTTTAGAAACAACCTGAATCTACCATTTGCACTTTTACAGTAACGATCAGGGCTCCCCTGTCAACGGTTCCAAACACACTTGACCTAAAACACCAAATGTTGGTACCATATTCAATGCAGCAGTGAGAAGTTGAAGATTCCAAGTCCTCCCGCATTTGTGGAGCGAAGGTGCTACGCATAGAATGTAATCCAAGTCCTAGTAAATGTACCATCAACAATCCCAGCAAAACTTAACAGCTCTGCAAAAGCATTTAGGAACAACCCATGCTGCACATCTCACTCCCCTTAAACCAGACTCTGGGTTGGCTACTTCTCTTACACGTAGCGGACTAATAAACAGATTTACATCAGTAGGTCACGACCAAACCACCGTGTCAGAAAATGGTAGGATCCTCTTGGGTCAACACAAAAATCACATACAAGTTTAACTAAATACATTTTAATAGGACATCATTAAATCTCATGAGGGCTAAAAAACACAGATCTTAGGTACTTGGGTTGGCAAATAAAGACAAGAATACTAAGAAGCATTTTCCACCATTTACTCATTATCAAAAATATTTTTCAACTCTTCTTGCAAAACAAAAACAAAAAAGTACAGACTGGACACGTACATCACATTTTTCTTCCTATGGCTTTAACCCCCCACCCTACCCACCCCACAAAAAAGACGGGGGGAGAAACAAACCAAAACCAACAAAAAGATCTGACCACATTCACAGAAAATGACACCATGGTACACTACAAAACAAAAGGAGGTGTCATTTGTGTCCAAAGGTTTTTGCTTATTTCTTAGGTGAGTAACCATCATTGTATATGCTTTGTGCCAAATCAAAATACACCTAATGTTAGGTCAGAAAGCGCTGCAGATTTCATTAGATGAATTAAAGGAAAGATGGAAGCAGTTATAACTAACTTGAAAAATTCACGTACTATTTAACATGCTGTTGAAACAGGAATTGCCTTTTAAATAAGAAGGTAATGTTTTGTGTTCTAGTCAGCCCATTTGTGCTGTATCATTCAAAGAGGAGAAACTTCTGCTTTCACAAAGTAACTGATTTTTTTTTTTGGTTGCCAATGAAATCTTAAATGCAAGACTAAATGCTTCTACTCTAATTTAGGAATTACGATGAAATAATTTTTTTTTTTTTTTTTTTTTTTTTTTTTATAAAGCTGCATTTCTACAAAGGTGCTTTCATTTTTAATGCTTTTTGAGATAAGCTCTTTGCCAACTTTGTGTTATTTTTTTCCATTTGAAGCCTTTCAGCCCAGGTCAAAAAGCATCACCCTTTGAAAGCAACTTTCAATATATCACAGAAGAATGAAATGGATTCTGGGTGAATTATACAGATTGATTTCTAAGGCCAGATATTTTGGATATTTGATATTTATCCAGATATTTGGATATTTTGGATATAAAAAAAAAAAAAAAAAAAAAAAAAGGAGAGAATGGTGCTAATAAAACTAGCTTTGTGTATAACCAATTTTCCCGCCCCAATCAAAATAACAACATGTCAAACAAACGGAGCTGGCACAGGGGCAATGATGGATCAGGAAAACAACCTGTGGAATTGTCAAGGAAAAAGCAAACGCTGGTATTAACGGGACAGCACATTGGAGCCAGCAGTTTAACCTTCACGTCTAAGCAACTGATCTTCCTGACCCTTGTTTGGAGGCTGACTGTTTTGGGGCTATCAGCTTTCTCACTATATTCCCAATCTTTTCATTTTTAAACTGCTCCATTGCCAATTCTCACAATCAAAAGTTACCCAAGGGCCTTATCAGACTGGTTTCCCCAGCTTGAAGCTGCATTTCCTACAGGAACACTAGGTGATCTTCTAGCAGTAGTGTCTGTAACTGATTGATAATTGCTTTTCTACATCATAATCTAGCACAGTTGAAATGGACTAACTAGATACCACTTGGCTACATTTACGCGGAAGCTTTGACTGAGCACAAAGCATGACCGTGTACAATGAGGTTAATATATTCCTTGCCAAAGATCTTGTGATAAAATCATTTACATCAGCAATTCATCTCAAACTATGAGGTGCTGTAAGAACTAGAAAACAGTTTTAGGGTAACTCCTCCATTATCTGCAACTATTTCCCAGACACTAATACACATAACATAGCAATGAAAAACACTTGATACAAGTGATCTAAACGCAGGAGCTCCAGCAAGTTAAACAGAACCATAGCTGCCTTAAAACTGTCGCAGTTCCCCTACTGATGGCAGGGAAAAGAAAGAAAGATTCAACAGTCATATCTCATGTCTATAGCTTCATCCAAGCTTTTATCATCGTGTGTACTGGCAGCTAAAAACGTCGTTACTGGTGACCCTGTCACATTGATTACACTGGTGCTTGTGCTGGCATTGCGCACCGCAATGCTTGTCACATTAATGCCCAAAGTAAGCCTAGTCTGCTCCAAGGCCTTTTCTGGCACTGCAAATGCCTCCAGCTTCTTCTCCCCGTTAGCCATATAGGAGTTTTGGCAACCACGGCATATGCAGTCAAGGCAGGCTTTGCGGTTAGAGTAGCAAGGGCAGCGTTGGCCACGGCATGTAAGAACACTTGGATTTTGGGTGGCACGACCACATTTACACCCTTTCTTTTCTTGTGGCTTTTTATACACAGTTTTTGTTGGGCTTCCTGGCATAACGTTACTGCTAGGAACTTTCTCCTTTGCTTTGTCTTTTGTTTTCAGCACTCCCGGTTTGGCTTTTGGGTGAGATTTCTTAGGGGCATGTTCTAAATTCTTTTTCATGCTTTTGTTAGACAGGAGCACAGTTTTACTGATTTTGGGAGTAGTGCCTCCGTTAGGTACAGTTGCAATAGGCTGCAAAGACATTTTGTTTTCCTGTTTCACTGTTACAGGAGCCGACGCTCCCAACGTTGGGCCACAGATGATGCTGGAAATGGGCAGAGGTTGAACCTTTTCACTGTCGCTTTCCGACCGAGACCGCTTTCTGTTTAACTTAACCACCTTAGGCGTTGCTGCTGTACACGAGATTCCATGAGGAGAAGCATCTGAGGACATGAAAATGTTATGGCTAAGGGGTGGGGGAGAAAGTTGCAGGAAAGGGCCATTAGTCATGTTTGTCTCCAAGCTGGGCTGCAAATTAGAACCACAGACTTCGGTATTTGAAACGGTCTCTAAGCTCCGTAGAACTTCCTCAACACTAAGGAGAAGCGATCCACCTGGTTTTATGTCTTCGCTGAAGCTGCAGATGTCAATGCCTGTCGTACACAAGTCACTAGTAGAAACGGTATCACACACAGGCTGCAGGCTGCTAGAGATATCTTCATTTTTTATATACTCTCCAGTACTACACACATCAATCGTGTTCGTGTGTTCAGGAGAAGGGATATTCACTCCAAGTTTATCCACTGAAAGCCCATTACAATTGGGCAACCCGTTGATAACAGAACCTCTAACATCAGCGTTGTGTGTGCTTTCAGGTACTGACGTAAAACTAGCTGGAGGATCGTTTGTAAGTTCTGAGGTTGAAGGTACTGGGGAATGTGTCAAACACAAAGCCAAGGCTGTATCGGAAGATTTTTCCGTCTCTTCGTGGAGTGGTGATCCATCTTTGAGCAAAGCCAAAAGATCTGCAGAACAATCAACTGCTTGGATAATATCTCGTGCCAGTGGAGTTTGCGTTATGTATTCACAGAGTTTCTTATAGCAGTTCACTAAAATGCTTAGCTGCTTATTCTCCTCAAACTGTTCGTAGTCCTTGCACCAGCTACATGATGGTTTCATCATCATCTTCTTGCCTTTACAAGGTTTGCAGACATAATGCTGACATGTGGAGTTTGTGGGAGCAATAGGGTCTTGTAGCAAATTTCCTAAGGGAAAAAAAAAAGACTACAATGAACTCAAGCCACATTTCCAGGATAACACAGGATGAATTCCTTGTGGCATAAGCCAAAAAAATTGCCTGAAAAAGTTGAGCAAGTCACAAGAAAATATACCATCCAAACAATAGTCTAAAAATTCTCACAGCTGCCGTATCTGATTTTAAAACATTACGAAAAAAACACAGAAGAACATCCCACCATAATTTGTCATGCTGCTGCAGCCTTTAGAAACCCTCTTAGCTAAAACAGTACCAGCCCCTTCATTCCCTTCAGCAGTTTCTTCCATTGAAAGTTACAAAACACACAGGATTTCTATGAATTTTCCAAAAGCGCAACAACAAACCCCCATGAAGAGCTACTGCAGAGATTTTAATGAAATTAGTGAAAACAAATGGAAACTGAGCAAAGGGAAACCCTAAAAGGAATGTAAAAATGATGAAATACCAACCCCAAAAGGAAAGAACACACAGCAGAGACTTTGTTTTACTTTTCATTTGGCCGGGACTAAAAATAGAGCATAGCTTTGTGACCGTCAAGGCCATGAATAAAGCACAAAGATTTCAGCTTTGTGAGCAACAAGAACAGTTAAATGCCCCCCACGAATTCTTACAAGCACCAAATAAAACACCTAATATTGTATTTCAATAAAAATGAATATAAATATATTTATTGTTCCTTAATAGCTAGCTCTTGTTGCACTTTCTGTTTTGGCACGGGGCGACTATTAACACATCCTAGGGAGTGGTAGCTCCCCGTTTCCCAAGGCACAGACACATAACAGTGAAATAACACCTAAGATTGTAGTAGTCACAGCCATGATGCTTAAATACTTCAAGGTGTCAACAACAGCTCGCGTGTCCTGCGCAGGGGTGAGGAAATCACAAAAAATGTTCTCTGAGATCTTACTGTTAAGAAAAAAAAATAAAAAAAATCAGTTGCTAATGGACTCCAAGTCACCTGACAGCATGGGCGTTAGACACCTAGTGCTGAAAACCTGTCAGATCTTCAGATCTCTGAACCTAGGTCTGGGAGGATGTTTTTGCTTATGTTAAGAACCAGTCCTGTAACACATAAGGATAAAAGTTGAAATTCTGCATAGAAATAATCCAGCTAGTAACTATATCCATAAAACAACAGTATTGCTTTGTTATTTTTAGCCAACTCTAGGCCAGAAAGATATTCTAAGTAAATTTCAGAGTATCTATAGCCAGCTACAGAAGCGGGCTTCTTCCCCTTCTTTCCAGCAGCAGATTTTCAGCTTTGATCAGGACTGTCTCCCCCTGAGGAGCCTTTGCTGGATGAGCTACAGCAATCAGTGAATCCTCTCCCAGATTTCCCACCCCAGTGCAAACATGCTGTTAGGAATAAATGAATAAAATTCTGCAATTTGGGAAGAGAAAGCAAAGTGCATATAGTAAAACAGACTGAGATAAAACGTCCTAATCAAAGGTATTTTCTCTCATCAGCCGCTTCCAAGGAAATTTTAATCATGTGAACCTTCCCTACTGGATTCTCGTGATAGCCCTTCAGAGGGATACAATTTGCTGAATCTAGCTGAGTGCACCAACTTATGAACTACGTAAGAAAAAACAACTTTTCTATGTTGTATTAGCTTAGTCTAGAATCCAGTCCCTCAAGCAGGAGAACAAGACCTGCTGTTCTGATCCTTAGCTGCAGTAGCCTTCAAACACAAAACTTGGCCCTACACTCTGTATCTTTTGCCCAAATGTTCCACCCCTTTCCCAACCAAGCCCTCCCTACTCTTCACTGCTGAAAATTTTTGAAAATTAAACTTTCCGTTTGTTTGAAGTAACAGGAAACTTGCATTAGTACAGTCATTTTGCGACAATCCTGAATTCTGTGAATGAGCTGATGGAGACTATCTGTCCCCTGTTCCCTCTGAAGCCCAAATTCCTTGGTACTTGCAGCAGCCCTCCTCTGTCCGAGCCACCTTTCAGCAAAAGTGGCCTGATTTAAGCTGAGTTTTGAGCAGCAGATAACAGGGGTCAGTGCCTAAGGCATCATTGTTTGTGTTTTTTGTTGTTGTTTTGTGTGTTTGTTTTTTTTTTTTTTTAATACATTGAGGGAAAATAGATTCTTTATAAAGTTACCAGGTGACAGACATCAACAGAATGACAAGTAAGTGGAAGAGTGACCATACAGAAATGGGCAGGATTTGATCACAGCCACCTAAAAGTGATACAGGAGGAACAGCAAATAGAAGAAGCTGCAGTTAGCGAAAGGTTCAACACACAATTACAGCAATATTTGGCTGGAAAAACGCATTTTATGACCAAAGATTAGATATTTAACTTTTCTTTGCTCATCTAATGAGGAAGAGCTGACTGAGGAACACAGACCCCAGAAGACCCTACAAAGACAACAGCAAAACCCTCTTTGAGCTAAGCAGTGAGGATTTACAGCCAAGAAGAACCTGAAGCCACACAATGTAACCTGCAATGAAAATGCTGAAGTTCCCTTTCAATGACACTATTTAAACAGCAAGGCAGGCAGAGATGTCCATGGTGGTCATCAGATAGGATTTGCGTTTGTGAGCAAAGTCAGGAATTTCCATTGGGGAAGAAACAAAAGAAAGCTTTAAATCACACCAGCTGGTCTCACAAGCCATGTCCTTAGGCACAAGGAGTTCAACGACTGTCTGGCCCTTCAGGATCTTGGGTATTCCCACCAGGCACAGCAGAAACTCTGCTCTGACCAAACGCCTGCAACACTTCTCATTTAATGCTCCGAGACGGCAGAATCCATTGTAAAAGCACGCATGCATCCACAGTACTTCCACCACCAAAAGGCCTCCAGCATTAGCACCCAGCGAAACAAAGCAGCTGGGTGTGCGCCTTGGTCCTCTTCAGCCTTGTTTTGCTACTTGGAGCTACAATGATCAGTGTGTGGCAGATTACCAAGTATTAAAATACTTACAGATGAGACGAAATGAACAATTTACAGTCACAATTTAACTTTTAATTAGATTTTTTTTTTTAATCTCATTGCCAACTGTGCATTTCATTTAGCCCCAAAAATTACACTTATCCCAAAATAAATTTGGCTGAAACTGCTGAATGGGTACGAAAGCTAAAAGAGGATACAAAAATCTGGAAGAAACATAAAATAATCCAGAAGCTTAGAAGAGAAAGACAGATGGACAGACAAAACAAAACACTTTACATGCTCCCCGGAGGAAAGAACACAGTGAGTTCTACCCTCAGTAAATGCCAGCAACCTACACAGAAGAGACATTGGGAATGCCTGAACCATGGGAATATTTTCAGCTTGAGCTCACATCTCATTGAATATTCATTCTGCAAAGTTTCTTTCTTTATGGATTCTGTGGCACCTATCACTAGTCAGTTTTAGTACTGTTAAAATTAGAAAGAAAAAAAAAAAAGTCAACCACAAGATGCAAATTCACAGAAATTTAGATTTCATTAGTTTTAATATTTGGGGAATGCTGTTAAGTCAACAGCAGTGTCCCAGAAAGCCAACACCTGAGCTACTACCAAGACTCTGGAGGCACTAAGCTTTGGGATATTCCAAACCTGTGGCTCCACAGGCTCCCTGGGCGTAACATTCATTGCTGCTGCAAATTAGCAAATCCCCCCAGGTAAGACTATAAACTTCACCAAGACAATAAAACAGAAATGATTCAGAGATGATCCAGCCCATCCTCAAACTCCTAAGAACGACCCCACTGGTCAGACTAAAGATCCACCTAGCACGACATCCCCTCTCCCTAGTGGCCCAAAGCAGATGCTGTGGACACAGAGTAGGAAGGAGGAAACAAACCCCAAGTGCTTGCCCAGCCTTTGGCCATCACTCGCTGAGATGCTCCTCACGGGAGATGGCATTTCCACGTACTCAGTAAGCCTCAGACTCTCTCCAGAAGTTTGCCTCCCCTCCCAAGCTATTTAACGTGTTATCAGTCACAACAGGCTTTGACAAGAAGTTCCCTGGGCACCGTGCTGAGAATAACCTTTTTGCTTTGAATCGTTACTCCGGCTGGTTTCACTCGGCAGTCTCCGGGTCGCTGGACGAGGCCGCAGTCGGTCCCTGCCCTCCCCTCCACACCACCGCGGGTCTCACAGCCACTACTGCATTTCCCCACGTTCTCCCTCCCAGAGTGAGGGGTTCTGGCAGACACAGCTTCATTCAGCACCGCAGTGAAGTTCACCACTACATTCTCTATTCAGTTTCTGATTTTTAACACTTGTTTTACTTTCGATTGATAGCCAGTACTGAGCTGATACTTCCACGGAGTTTTCTGTTGAGAAGCCAAGATCTCGCTTTTGGCCGGTAGCCATCAATGGTGCCACTTTCTATACATTCACAAATTTATTTAAGTCTGTAAGATAAAACCGATGAGCTCTGAGAAGTTTGTAATATTTTTCTCCATGTTTATCATTCTATATTTATCTGAGCTAAATTTAATTTGCCATTTTACTGTGCAGTCATTCATCCTCATCAGATCCTGCCACGTTTACTCAATGCAGACCTTCATTTTTACTACCCTAGATAACTTGGTATTACTAAACTTCACCTCATCTCTGCTCATCCTCCTTTGCAAGGGGAATATTAATACACCAAAAGCAAAATCATGTTCTTACAAAGCCTCCAGTAAGAGGCTTCACATTTCCCTAAACAACATCAGATCTTAACTATCCTACTCTCAGAAAGGTTCACCAACATCTACTCGAATATGAGCACTTACACTTAATAAGCAGCATACACAAAGAAAATACTGTTAATATATTATTTACAAAATACCACAGCTGTCCTGGAAAGGCTGCTGCCAGGAGGGAGGTCATTTAGACCACAAGGAATACTTCCTATTGTGTTCCTTAATGAGCATTACTTCACAGCTGCAGGAAGAAGGGAAGCATCTGCAAATTGTATCTCACGGACCAAAGGAGGAGAAGAATTGGGAATCAACATGACTATTAGGTGTATGTATCCAGCAAATGTGCTCCAAATGG